TAAAGTTACAAAACTTAGGGCCTAGTGATAACGCTTCTAACGCAGTTTTGTCCAGCATAACACTAGAGAAATTGTGTACGTACTGATCTGGATTAGATGGAAATTTCATTTCTGGAATTTGTTTGTCTAGATTATTCTTAAGTTTCATTCTTTTCTTTTCTTTTCTTGAGTTAACAACCATCTCGACATAGTCCAGATATTGTTCTCTTAATTTATCGGGGAGGTCTTCTATCGCGTCAAAGATTCCTTTGAATTTGTTGATAACATAAAAAATCTATCAGTCAAGAATAAATTCATGATATCACTTGATGTATTATCATTATTCACTAATATTCCACTACTCGAAACGGTTGATTTTATTTGCAATGAACTAACGGCGAGACGCATAGAAACCCCGATTCCCACATCCGCGATAAAACAGTTAATTCTTAGATGCACTATGAATGTCCAATTCAGATTTGACAACAAATAATATAGACAACTAGATGGAGTCGCCATGGGATCAGCATTGGGCCCTCTACTGGCTAATATTTTCCTTGCAAAACTGGAAAATGGACCACTTAAAAGTACAATTACCCATTCACCAACTTATTATCGCTATATAGATGATACTTTCATAGTATTAGAAAAAGAAAATGATAAGCACAATGTACTTAGTATATTTAATAACGTTCATCCATCAATTAACTTTACATCAGAAGATGAACAGAATAATAGCATATCTTTTCTAGACATCCAACTAACTAGAAGAACAGACGGAACTATAAAAAGAAGGGTACACAGAAAGTCAGCAGCAGGTCAATACACTCATTTCCACAGTGCAGTTCCAATCAGATACAAAAGGAACTTGATAAAGATCTTGACACATCGTGCTAGAATGATCTGTTCTGAAGACACCATTGAAGAAGAATTGAACAATATTCGGAACCTACTCAGTCTGAATGGGTACCCCATGAAATTCATCGACAAACATATGACGGAGAAGAAAACAAGGACAAAAATACCCACCGTTCCCAAGAAGGTATTATTCATAAAACTACAATTCACAAATGACACCATTGAAGAAGTCATGACTCAGAAACTACGAAGAGCTGTACAAAAAACATTTAATGCTGCCAAATTAAATGTCATCTTCTACAACCACCCGAAAATAAGAACATCCATTAAAGACAGACTGCCAGAATTCGCCAAATCTATGTGTATCTATCGTTTCAACTGCTCCTGTGGAGCCAGTTACATAGGGCGTACAATTCGGCAGGTCCGTCATCGCATTACAGAACATCATCCGACATGGCTAAGCAAAGGACAGGTGAAAGTGATTAAAAGTTCTATTCTCTCTCACTTGGTTGACACAGGTCATCAAGTCGAATTGAATAAAGCTTTTAAGGTTATCTACAATATTCCATCAAATCTACCACATGGTTTACGAGTGCGTCTTCTGCACATTGTGGAAGCCATCGCAATCCATGTTCACAAACCTGACCTTTGCATCCAAAAGAAATTCGTACAACCACTTTCTCCGCCCTGGCCTTCAGTATAAGATTTCCGTCATAAGAACTATTTTTCATATTTCTTCCACTTCTTTTTTTTATTTAAATTTTTGTAATTTTGTTTCTATTGCTTTTGAACTTTATAACTTCTCAACATTCATCTCTTGATTTTTACGTAACTACTATCCTATTGACCACCCGTTAAAATTCTGTTCCTTCCCTGTTTCTTATATTACGCAACGTAGCAACTTCTTGATTTAATAATTACTTTGAATATTAATAATCCTCTTTCTTCCAATTACTCAATGTTAATTTAAATGTCATTATGTAATTATTACGTAACGTATCCACTCGATGAGTATTATATTATTATTGTAAAACATATATATATATTAGTGTAGAGCCATGATGAAAAACTAATTGAAAAGAAATTTCTTCGCTCAATTCGTTCCTTATTTATTCACCGAATGGCAAAATGGGAATTTTTAAAAGTAAATTTACTTATCTTTTGCAAAATATCCGTCACTCCTAACTATAAATGTGAATAGCCTCTCTGTCGATATGTTATTGCTGATTTTCTCCAGATGCTTATTTATATACAAAAATAGTCCGTTAAAATATGTATGAAATTTCTATAAGTTTGTTTGGCGTTGTTTGACTTCTACAAATATTTCATCTCAAACGCTAGGTAGATTTTGTTCCTCTGATAAATTTTCTGGTCTTAGCTTTGTTTGAAATGATTTAATACTCACCTCAACGTCTTTATCAGATATAATAATGTTTCTTCCCGTCATTTTGCATAACAACTGTTCATTCCACTCCATTATCATTACGTTTTTATGTATTACACTATAATACTTACTATTATTCAATGGCTTTCATTGTTATCATTTATTTTGCAGAATACTTTTGTATCATATTATGTTGATATTTCTAAGCATTGACATGTAACTCTAACGTTTGATCCATTACATTACTGTAATTACATTCCTTCATAATTCTTACTCGCTTTCCTCCATTACTTGTGTTGTCCTATACATACTGATTATTCAAAATAACTTATATATTTAAGGAAGAAGAATGTATTTAGAAAATTTCAACAATTGAATTTGAAGTAGATTCAACGTTTCACCCGGGAATCTGGTTCAGACTTTTTTAAGGAAACTTAATTAAACATCAAAATTATTGAATTCAAACAGGTATTTACTTCGGTTAGCTGTATACTGAATAGATCATCCAATCACATTAACAATGTTGAAAGTAAGTATTTGCTTTAGTGTGTATGAGGCATACATAATAAGGAAATCTGAACTCCTTATTCCCTTTGATCTATCACTTATTATCTGAGTAACAGTAATCACATTTAACGATTCTAATCAGTTATCTCATTTGAATATGATGAATAAATAAATGGAACAGCAAAAACACAAAAATTCATTTATTTATTTTTATTTTGTCTACTTATCTTCATTTTATGCATGTTATGATATATTTGATTCATATCATATATAATAATTGTATGTTTTCATTTAAAATTCACTTATTAGAGCCGATAAATAATGAATGAGATTTCTTCTTACACTTCAGATCCACTTACGAATACATACAATGTATTATCTTAACATACTTTCCGTTACACACCATATGCCTCATACACACTAAAGCAAATACTTACTTTCAACATTGTTAATGTGATTGGATGATCTATTCAGTATACAGCTAACCGAAGTAAATACCTGTTTGAATTCAATAATTTTGATGTTTAATTAAGTTTCCTTAAAAAAGTCTGAACCAGATTCCCGGGTGAAACGTTGAATTTACTTCAGTTTCAATTGTTGAGATTTCACAAGTATATTCTTCCTCGTCAATGTCTTACATCGACTGGGTTAGGGCTTGCCTCGTAATGCAATTTGATTATCTCAATGTATGTCCTATCCACCTCCAACGTGTTTTCCTAATTTCCTCTTCAGCTGGGAGTTGGTCTGTTTTCTGCCATACTAGTTTGTTGATGATATCTGGTAAATGGGTCTGAAGTATTTTGCGTAGATAATTGTTTCTGAATATCTATACTTTTTAATGATGGTTATGGTAGTTCTCCAGTTTCAGCTCCATACTATATTTTCGTATTGAAGTTTCTGACTTAGGTGTTAGCTGAAAGTTGTTTTGAACTCCATAATTTCTTCATTCATAATAATGCTGTCCTTGATTTTCTCTGCATCAGATCATTCTAGTTTATCAATGCTGCTAACCAGGTACATGAAAGTTTCCAGGTGTTCTCCATCAAGCGTGATTGGGTTGGTGCTCGATGTGTTGTGATGTGATTCGGTGAGACCTATGAAGCTTTGTTTATGGGTTTGTGTGGGAATATAGTAACACGTATAGCCATTTTGTTGAGTGCACGTAAATTTGCAAATCTGTCACTACTCTTGTTCCTTTCTCCCAGTCTGTGTCTTCTCATGACATCTTCCTATCCGGTGTTGCCCATTTCAACATTGGCGTTTAGTTCTCAAATTAGGATGGTCAAATTATTTCCTGTGCACTTCTTGCTGTGTCGGCAAGCCAATCGGAATACGACTTATACAATCTTAACGCTGTGCCAAACCGATAATGTATCGACCGGTATGAGCAACCTAACGTCCTTTTTCCTACTAGCCCTGCCAGATGAGTCCAGAACAACAATACCAGCTTCCACTATGCGAATCATTTATTTCAAACATACCTGGCTTATATATAAGCCAAACAGACCACATCACATGATAAAATAGTAAATGACATTTATACATGATCAAGCCAAAAAGTGGCTGTGGTTATGGGAGACGGTAATTAATAAACTGGACAGAACTTGAGAACAGTATATCGTATTAATAGTACATAAGTCAAAATAGAGCTAATAATATGAGGAATACGAATATACCTAATATAGCTACTCACTAACTATACAATAAGAATATAGCATCAGTCCATAAATAAAATTCCAACGGCTACCATCCATTATTGTCGTCGGAATATAACACTTCTCTTATGATCCTTTGATGATTGTTGATCCATGAGATTCCCATCCTATAGATGTTTTACGTGCTTCTTTGGACAGCATCAAAACAACTGTCTGTGTATACGTGGCATTTTTTTCTTGGTGAACAGAGTACAGCAGCATCTCTCCCGAATCTAATCTTTTCATTCCATCTTAGATCCAATGGGTTTCACTATTTCCGAAGACTGTCAAGGTTTATCTCCTCATTTCTGTAACTATTTGACTAGTTCTCATGGTCTCCCACACTGTCCGAACATTCCACGTCATATTTTTTGTGGTATCATATCTTATTGTGAGATATTACAAAAAGATTTCGGATTAAGTGATTGTCTTCTAATCTTTAATATGACAATAAGTCTCATAATTAAGTTATTTTTGAATTAGGAATCACGATTTCATCTGATTAACAATCTCTATTTATTTTTTTATCTGTATACTTCGTTCTTATTTATTTCATTGGATTTGGCAATATTATTTAGAGCTGTATTCACATGTCCATTGTTCGCGGCGACAGTATGATAAATGTGCTTTCTATTTCGTTGTTGAAACCAGCTGAAAATGCCAGTATAGGGTGAGTCTATTGCTCTTAAATGTGTGTTGCATTTCGGATTTCCGAGTCCCCGACTTACGAGTCACTTATAATCTGTTTAGCTTGTGCCATAGTTACTGGAGTATGACTCCATCTTTGTGTGAATAAAGTGTAAAAGCTGTACAAGAATTCTTCACGTAAGATCTCTTGACCCTAATTTAATAATGTATTATTTCGAAAATCGGGTCTAATTATAATAATTTGTGTACTAGGACTAGTCAGTTTTATTATCCCTATGGGATGTTGTTCCTCTATTTACTCATAAAAAAGACAATATAATTCGGCGGGGAATTAAAATAAATGCATCACGAAAACAGTAGAAAATAAATACTGGTTTCTCGAAAAGAATGCCATTTTTGTATTGAAGTGTAACACATTTGGCTCACAGAAATTTGTGCACAGATAACTGGTTGTAAAATATGCGGTTACTGTGGATTTGCTATTAACTCGAATTGAAAAAACACCGTTTGATGGTTAGTTAAAATTTACCAGTTGACTGTATTACAGAATGCTTAGTTAGAAACCTATCAGAATTTCGTCATCTATACCTGCTTTTTTAAAACTTTTTATTTTCAGGATGCACGTTGTTCCTATTTATAGTAAAAATGATTCGATGTAAACTTTCTGTTATGTGTATTCGTTGTTGATGAACAAAGATTCTTTTTGATATATATATATATATATATATATATATATATATATATATATATATTCATTTAACTTGCTAATTTGAGGTCTTTTGAATTTCTTTTGACTAAAGTAGTATTCAGAAGAAATGTATCAAGGTGGTACTGATATGTATGTGCAAAATCACTCACTCACAACAGTACTTTCATAAGACTGTCCATAATTACCAGCGTAAGTTTAGTTAAGTATTTTAATGTATTGTCACGTGAAATTCTCCGTAGAATCATTTAAGTTCACAAATATGACTGTTAAGTCTATCGAAGCGTCCAAGTCACCCGATTGAGATACGCGCAAAACCGAAGTTTCCAAAACAACGATTTGTCTACAATAGCAGTTCTTTATTAAATAATACACAAAATTTAGTTACAAACCTCAACTTGTGAGGTGTCTAGGCGTTTAAACGCGTCCTTCAAGAATGAAAATAACAAAGGCTTCCTGTAAGAGTAACATAAAGAATAATTATAACATACGATAGTACAAAGACAGCCGATAGCGGTGTCTAAATTTGATAACAGTTTATGAGCAAACGAAACTCGAACCAAGAGCAAAACAATATGGAAACTGATGCGTTTGAAAAAATGCACAAAACTGTGGATAACGGCCACAGCGATTAAGATACAGTAATTATAATGATAAATACAATGATAAGTACAATAAACGTAATAAGTATATGTGAACATTTCAGAATATTACAGTACAACTTGCGTTACAATCTAAGTGTGAAAATTGTTGGGAATACAACTGCTTACCGAATGTAAATAAGTAGTATAAGACAACATACAAAAGAGTAGGAAGGGGACGAGTAGGAACAATGTAAGACAAACTTAACAATGACGTATTGTACTCCCTTTACCCCAGTTGGATTTATGAAAATTATACTCATAGGTCATTTTTTCCATTTCATAGATAAGGAACTGTGTCCGCATACAGACCTTACATTCTTTTTCTTAGACTACTGATGTAGCGCAGTATGATGTAACTTTCAGGTTTCGCTGTTGACATTATTATATCGTCCGCCAATCTTACATATTTTAGTTGCCTTTATTATAGGTTTCAGGTATTTAGGCAATTTAAAATTTTTAGACAATTTAGCACACAGAAACTGGTTGGTGAACTGTGCGCTAACTACTAATAGTTTCGTGAGCCGTGTTTATAAGTAAGTGGATGACTGTTCTAAGTGCAATGCATGAGTACGATCGGTTGATTATGGGAATGGGAAGTTTTCATCACCATGTACTTGGCAACTCACTAAAACTGATCGAGTTTGTAAAGTGATCCTGAAAGGTAATACTAAATCCCCTACCTGATCGTCACCAGACACTACAATATACAGTGGATAAGTCAAGTGTAATCCCTACTAATAACTACGAGAAACTGGCCAAAGGTTCTTTTGGCAGGCATATTTACTTAGTGGGTACATGCGATTATGTTGACCAGCCGATAAGGTTGTTTACAATTAGGAAAACTGGGTGATAAAGCGAAGATGTCCTACAGGCTGGCGTTTGGCAGGATCTTTTGCCCTAGCGATCTGATTCCATAAAGAATAGTTACGAATGTGTAATGCAATATGAAACTTTGGCTCCGTATGTTATTACTTGAACTGATTACGTCAGGAAGGGCTTCGGAAACGTTAGCGCAGATAGTCATAAGAATGGCTGATCAAATAAGTCAAACGTCCCGACTCACCTTCATTAATCAATATTTCTAATCATATAGAAAAATATAAGCTAAAGATGTGATGACGAGGGCAAGTGTTAAGCACATACGCTCAGAAATAAACAATCAATGTTATAAGCGGATAGCTGACAAGGTCGAACATATGTGAACGATGACTGAGAGATGTGATTATATGATTAGAAGAATATGAATTATAGTATGAACTAAGAATCCCAGAAATAACGTAATCGGATCAAGAAGTACTAGATAACCACAAATGAATGTACTGTATTTAGAATTCAAAATCAAGCATTCAACAAGTACAGAGGTATCATTAATTCATTCAAACACCACATCCTCCACAGCTTAAATTAGAGTCTAAGTGTCTGTAATCGATTGTACGTCTTCTTAAGTTCATCCTGTGTTTGTCCGACATTGTATTGGATAAAAACTCAGCATTATCTAGAACGTGCTCATTAGTATTAGAATTAACAACCGAAATCGGAACAGAATCACCTGTTTCCTAGGATTGTATACAATCAGCATGTCGATTTTGTAATGAAATCATTAATATCTAGAATTCGAACCATAGATTTTTCAACACTATCTTCCACCACGAAATAATGTTGGATCTTTATATCCCCAAGTTATGAATAATGTGGCTTCATTTAAAACATATTTCTCACATTGATTAGAGTACACAATGTAAATGGATTTGTGATAAGGATGAACAGCAGGTGATATGAAATCATCCGAATTGTAATCAAAATCGAGGTCATTTAGTACTCGTGCTTCGCATTGAACAAGTTTACCACAAGAAACAAATGCATTATGAGGACAAATAATACTTAGTATGACATCAAGCCTTGACTCTTCTGAAATAGTTTCCTCGAATTTATTAAGAATGTCATTGCAGAGTAAAGAATCATTAGAAAAATCAGCATCTATCAAGACTGCATCAGGTTTTCGATCATGGCTATGTTCATCTAACATATTTTCCTCAGATTTGCAAGGAATTTCGTCAGTAATAAGTGAATTATTAGGAAAAACTATATCTGGTACAATAACATGAGAAATCTGATAAGTTGATTGACTAGACACTGTTGTCTCACAAAGATTCTGAGTTTCATTTAACTCTGAACTGTTATATGACTACGCTGTCTTTTGAAATCGCTGATAAGGATAAATGATCATTAGGAACACTGGACAAGACTTGATATTCATTGCAGTAAGATGAACAGTAGTATTACAAGCTGACTGAATATGTCCAATACCACAATATTTAAAGCACTCAGAATTACGAAATTTACATGAATTAAAGAGTGGAACCTGCCACAGGACAAGCATTGACTAAACCTATGCCAATCTTCGTGAACTGCATCGCAACTCCACAATGAATTATCTGCAAAACGTTGAGTATGCACTGGGTCGGGGTGACGTAATGTAGTGCAATTTTTTATATCCTTGTGAATCATTTTACGAAATCTCCCTTTACCGCAGTCGAAATTTGTATGCTTAACATAGTCTAGCAATAGATCCTTGAGAGCTGTATAAGGAAGCGAAATGGACTTTCCCGATAAAGCCGGAGTTTTTAATCAACTATGCTTCTTTTCCGATGAATGTGAAGAAATGTGCTACAATATTAACATCCTCATCGTTTTCCTTGGTTATAGCCCAGATTTCGAACCTTTCAAAATAATCCTCAAAAACATCAAGTTCTGAATGTATATCCCACAATTCCATGACAGGCTCCATCGCGACGCCAATGTGATAATTAGGAGTATTTGAATTATAGTATGAACTAAGAATCCCAGAAATAACGTAATCGGATCAAGAAGTACTAGATAAACACAAACGAATGTACTGTATTTAGAATTCAAAATCAAGCATTCAACAAGTACAGAGGTATCATTAATTCATTCAAACACCACAGATTAGTGTTTCCAAAAGACAATAATACACATGTACGTGAAGTTGTAGCGTGGTGTCGAGTTGAGGTTAACTATGAACACCGCTACGAAGAAACACGTGCCAAGTAAATCAGAAGGCGAAGGTAGAACGTAACCAAATAAATCCATAAAATCCCTGAGAAGCCAAATATCAGAAGACAATTAATGGATCAAGTCGAGATATATTTGCTGGCGATCTCGTGGTATCGAAAGGATACCGAGATCGTGCCAGGATACAAGCTTGGTTACAGAACGTAACCGAATTCGCGCGAAGTTACAATCAAAGTGTAAGTATAAGAATGGAAGCACAAAATAGCTCTCATTAGCACAGTCAAACAAAAGCACATTAAAACAGTCACTGGTACACTTGGTTATAATAATAAGCGTTTTTATTAAACCAGTCGTGTTCTCGTGATAAATGTGAGTCACTACAAAGTATTACTACGTGTAAGATCCATTTTGAATGTTTTGTGTGCGAAAATCTCTCCATGTATACACTTGCGGTTTGTTCCTATTGATTCCTTTAGTTGTACATTTGTTAGTCTTTTTGATCCCATCTGAATTGTTAATATTTGTATTATATTATAGTTCTTATTTTTCTTACGCCTTCACTAAGTTTCCGTGTTTCTTCCTGAACTGCATTTATGTTGTTTTACTTGATACTTAGTCTTGGCAGCAGCCATGTTAGTTTGTTCCTCCTTCTGATTGTGTTTCTTGTATTGACTGGAATTTTGCATTTTTGATTGTGAATTGAGGCACTCTTCCAGAATCAGAAACACTCTGTGCTATTAAGCAACCAAATATAATCTTTTGAACGAACCCGTGAGTGGTCTATCCAGACAGGATAGAATAACATTTATTTGTTGCGATTGGTAATTTTCCCGCATCCTTTATCAACTTCCTTATTTACTGTAATTTAGATTTGATTAATTGGACAATTATTGGTTGAGTAGCTGGATGGCCATATTAGCAATCTACAAACTCAAGCCTGAACTTTGCCTGCAGAAACGATTTGTCCAACCTCTCATCCTTCCTTGGCCCTAATTCCCTTAATGAGTATGTTTCTGTGTGGGTGCTTTTTGTTGTTTTTCTGAACTTTTATTAATTATTATCGATATTTTTTAAACCACTATTTTGCACGTTAAACTCCAATCACTTATTATTATAACCTTATACAAGTTTTCTTGATTATCATTCAGTTTATTATTATGACCTTTGTTGTTTGTCGCTTTTCTTCATATCTGTCAATTGGACTATTATCTGACCCGTAAATTCTGTTCTTCCTTACCCCTTGATTAGTACGTTAACCTCATTTGTTAGTTATTCTCGAATCCATTTTTGTGATACAATCCCTTCTATTTTTCTATAGACATATTTTCCCTATAACCATATATACGAATGTACAGCTTAGGTAAATGATTTCGTCGAAAAGAAAATTTTCTTCGCTGAATTCTCTTTTTCTTATTCAGTGGTCATATTTGTTTAGGTAACAATGTACATTTAAATTTATGATGAATTTTAGAACCGTCATTTTACCCAATTACTTTGATTTGGTTTCAACCGGGTAAGGGTGCGTATCTAACACACCTAGACAGCTATTCTACAGTCCAAACCTTAGTTTGGATTTTACACTACGTTCTACAGAATAACTTGGTATTTAACTTAGAAATCGTTTCCTGCATGCAGGTCGTCCAGGTTCTCACTGGTGGTCTATCTTAGATCGACTCATGAATTCAACTATTAGAATTGCTACGATCGCCGCAATCTCCATCTTGATCAGAACGTATAATCAAGTCTGCAGGAGAACGAAATGTACCTTCTATAGGATTGCGCATATCAGTAATGGAAGTACAGCACATCGAAATAAGAGGTGTAGTTCTAATCACCAGGTGTATGTGTTTATGATACTGGCGCGAAGCGAGTTCGAAAGTGTAACTTCATTGTGTCAATTTTAAGACGGGGTACGACTTCAAAATGTAAAGACCATAGGCTAGATATGAACAAGTGACATTTTAAGACGATTATAAACTATGCAGAGAACATAAGGTAGGTGTGAATATGAAATGAGATATAAATGTTTATATAGGTAACAGGTTTAATTTAGCTCAGTTATTACCTGATAAAAACGTAGGAATCTTGCCTGATTTAGAACTTGTTGAAGGAATCGTGCAGTGTTATGAGAACCTAAAACATAACAGAATACCTGGATTATGCGCTCGGCAGTAGAGGTGAAAAATTTGTTTTTCATGATCTGTGATAGGTGGTTGAAGAACAGTCTTGGTTAGGGGAATGTCTTGAACTTGTTGATAATGATTGTAAATGAAAAGTTAGTGTTTACAGTTGTTGTCTACGATTCGAAATAATTGTTGAGGTTCCTTACGAAAAAGATTACTGGTATCACATTCTATCGAATCCACAGTATACTCATTATGACGACGAAGATCCATGGAATTTTTTTGTGAGCTCAACATATTCAGTACTTAGTAGTCTATGTGGCTGAGCATTATGATGTCATTCAGTCAGCTGCAACGAAGGACCAGGCACATATATGCATCGGTCCAAGTTGCCATACCTCATTAACACAACAAGATGGACACCAGATTCATAAAAGTAGTTAATTCAGAGGTGGTAATATATAAAGGAAAGATTGCATTAAGGATATAGTACAGGAAGAAAGAATTAGTTCGTAGAAAGAAAGATATGAAGCGATTTTAATCTCTTAGTTTAAGGGAAGACAGAGTGTATACACCGACGCCATTGTGATCGGTTCTGAGCCATGTCACCAAGAGTCTCCAACCATTGGTTACGATAGTCACACGGACCCCAACCAAGTAGTCTGCATCTACCAACATGGATCAGTTTAGAAGTTAGTGACTTCAAGCACTGATGCCACGTTTTGGTTTGGCCGCCCCTAACTTTCTTCCAACCATCTCCAACACCGGTTAGCATTGCACTTCGTGGTAATCGGTGTTCAGGCATGCGTAATATGTGGCCCAACCATCTCAGTCGATGAAGATTCACAACCTCATCAACTGATTTACCATCATTCCCTAATGCCCTGCGTCTAACCTCACTATTACTTACCCGGTGATCCCAGTAGACGCCAACAATATTTCTAAAGCATCTGTGGTTAAATACTAGTAGCTTACGACTATCTTCTACTCTTAATGACCATGTTTCGCTGCCGTAAATTAAAACAGAACGGACTGCCGCGCAGTATACTCGTCGTTTTTTTTATAGACGGATATCTCGCCTTCTCCATAGGTGAAGTAAGTTGGCAAAAGCCAAACGAGTTTTTCAAATTCGTGCTGAGATTTCATCAAACACCAACCCATTAGGGCTGATCAGACCTCTGAGAAAAGTGACGTTTTCGATGCGTTCGGCTACTTCACTCCCTATCCTTAGTTCAGGTGTTGACACAGACCAGTCCTGAAGGAACAACTTGCATTTAGAGTTGGAGATATGCGTCGTGAACATCCAGGCATTGGTGTTCAGTGCTGGCATTAGATTCTGAATTTTACGAGAGTCTTCACCAAACAGGACTATATTATCTGGGTATTCTAAATTGATAAGTGTACCTTCTGGTAGGAGATCAGTGCCTGAAGTTCAGTCGATTAGATTGTTATTCCCATCAGTATGTTTATGACGAGTTTGATCAAAGATGGGGAAAGCGGACACCCTTGATGGACACCAATTGAGGTTGCATAATCAAATGGCAGTTTTCCGTGCCTATAGTTGACCCTCGTTCTATTGATCGAACAAACCAGACTAGTAGTAGCTTTTCAACATTCAATGTAAGATGATAGGAAATATGGTTGCTGTCCACTTTGGCTAGGTGTGTTAAGTGAATGACCGTATTAGGATCCTGTATGAGTATTTCTGAGACACAACATACATCAATTGTACGAGATTCTAGGGTCCTAACCTAGGAGGCCTTCTGGCTCGTTTGATACAGGATGCTCACTTCGAAGGCCCCAAAGTGTAGTTTGGAGTGAGGTTTCAGTGAACTTGGGGCCTTGTTTCGCACACTTGAGTCACTGGCCACGGTGACACCTGAGGATGAAGTCAAAAGAGGAAGTTGACCATTGAAAGTCAACGTGGGAGGAATAACAAGTATTGAAGAGCGACATTGATTATGAATGCAGTTGTCTTGAGTGCCGTGAGAGGTATGAGTGCAAATATGACTTCCCGGTTGTCCACAACGTGTAAGGGTTCTTCTGGAGATACCTGGAAAGGAAGTCGTGTTACAGGAGATCTTAGTGACCCGAGAGCGTGATCTCAATGATCAAAGGACAACTGCATGTCGACGGTCAGATTTACTTAGTTTCAATAACCAAAACCTATTTTAATAGGATTGTGCTTGAGTAAAATTTTTAAAGTTTATATTGCTGTTATACCAACAGTATTGTCTCACTGGTATATATACTTGGGATACAAATGATACCAGAAGTTAAGTGACATCTGATATATATTAAAAATTAATTAGTTCTGAAAGTTATTTAGGATGATAAAAACATGATATTTCGGTTATTGCTTACACTGTTTCATAACGCATGTAGTAATAGGTAGTGGTTGCCGTAAAGAATAAAATTTTGTGGTCCTGAAAAAATTTGATTGAAGGAATGTGAAGCTTTTCTCATCAAAAGTTGTTATTTTCAGCAGGACAATGGTATTCTTCCGATTTTGGAACATGATTGAGAGTTGAAATTGACTATAGCGGCTTTTTAAAAAATATTTCTGTTTACGCTATAGTGGATGATGTATTCATATCTACTACCGCTGTTAAGACGAGATTATCTCACTCACTTTTCATGGTATTTTTGATTTTTAGTTTTATTATATAAATTTTTAGATATTTTATCCGATTTTTCAAGTTTATCAAATCCATTTTTTTGTAGCCATATCTAGTACAATAGATATATTAGCATTTTAGCATAAGATAAATCTACCTGCATCACGGTAAATTTATAATTTTTGAAAGTGTATTCCAGGTCTCATATTTCTTCTTTCCATTTTTCTACAAGTGTTTTTGTCTAAACATATCAACTTTTGATACAGAATCCTTCAGTATTTTTAAGTACTTATTGAGAGTCACTTTGACACCTGAAAATCATTTGAAATATTCGAATGAAGGGGATAACAATGTTTTGAAAAATTTGCTTACTCATAGGTGGTATCACTTAGTCACTAGTTTCACAGGAAAACATTTGTTAGACAAAACCGTTGAAGCGACATAGAATTATTTGTATGCTGTTTAAACAAAGTAAAAAATAGTTTTCAGTTCATGCGTAAAAATATATGGGCTAAACATTTATTAGCTGTATATTTATACCTTCTTTCATAATCTGCTTACTGTAGGATAAGTTCATTTGTCTGGTTTTTTTTATATCAGATAATATACTAAAGACTAACTGGGTTTTCGAAGGTGAAATATTGCAAGAAATCGGACGAATTATCTTTTATTAGGGGTCATTTGGAACACAAATAAAAATTTCACGTTTTTAGGATGAGATACATCTGGTTCAATTAACTCATGTTTTAGTAACATAAACGTTTTGAAGTTTAACACAAACGATTTATCACAATTGATTGATCATTGGGCGGTGAACAGTGTCATGCGTCTCAAATCCTTCTTAGTGAAGACCGAATACTATCGACCACGTTTCAATGTGGCCACCAGTCTAGGTGGCTCGACACCGTATGCACTATATTGAGATTAGGTGGTGGTTGGAGGTAGTCAACAGGAAACCAATTATCGGTGATTTAAGAAGAATTGTACAGCGCTTTTTTTGTTGTTCAAAAATCAAATCTTTTTGTGGAAGAATTTAATCTATGTTCACAGGACCACTTTCATAAGTTAGAAAACATTGCTTTTTGGTAGGATAATATATTATTTCAAAAATTCGGCGAATACCAATCTAAAAAGGAGGCTGTCCATTGTTTGGAGTTTAAACGCCTAAGTGTGTAAAAATCTATAAAAAAGCTTTCTTTATGTTTGACTGGTTGATTTTCCATCTCGTTTCATTGGATGTTTTCGTACTGTCAAACAGACATAAGTCATTCTTAACATGGCGTTTGATTGACTATCCAGAATCAGTAGTAAACTTTGAACACTGTCTCCTTAGTCTTATTTCAGCCTCTAATTTACTTAACTTGCATTTTGTCTTTGGGAGAAGAAACTAGCTAAAAACAAAGTTCGACAAAAGTGTTCTTAGGGTTTCCGGCAAAAGTAAAACGGCATGTGATTCTAATGGCCGACATTTTGATCCTAATTTATTGCCACTTATCTTTACATTGCAAGACTTATACAATAATCAAGTTTAACCGGTTCCGACAAAGTGTTTTGCTGAACAAAGTATCTATAAAAGTATAATATTATGAAATTTACCCTTTTTAATTGAGGTGATTATCTGTTTTCTTGCTTCTACATGATATATAGTAATGGAATACATTATATTCATCTTATATGTATGACATTTGTGAAATGAAGTGAGAATTGAAAACCAACAACTGTGAGATGTTTTTCTTCAAGAATTTATACTCCAATGTCAAAAATCGGTTGAGAAATCTTATTACGTTATTCTTGTCATTTTGCATTGAGTTTTTAATAAAAAATATTCTATTTGTAAATATTACATTTTTATCGTGCTTAACTCCAGAACAATGTTTGGCCTAAGACAGTTTGAATTCCGTAGGAATATTTTTCTAGTCAAATAGGTGATATATTAATTAATAATCTCTTTAAAGGTATATGTTATTTAGATTGCATGTCCATCTCTAAATAATAACTGAATCAATCCAAAATTATTACTTAGTATACACAAAAGTAATTAATATATTCAGTTTCTAAGATCATATTTAACGATTTCAAAATGATATTTGTCAATATTCATTAGACTTTTGAGGAGAGCTGTAGTTAGTTCATGCAAAGCATTTTACTGTAGAAAAATGTAATATAACGTTTCCTTTGTAAGTTGCTGCCAATATACTTGAAACAAGCAATCTACGACGACCTCTAAACACAAACACAAAACACTTGCTTAGCGACAATATTTTAAAGCAAGCGTTTAGTTTACCATTAAATGATGCCATTCAGTCTTAGAGACTGGTCGACAGTCACTAAAAATGGATGATTCCGCAGCACTTGATGAGTGGAAGCGTTTCCTGTACGTGATGGTATTCACTATAAAGACTGTATCCCCGAATTCCGTACTAATCCTTAGCAAATATATGTAACAATATAACCTTTAAATTCATTGATAGCCTAGCAGTAATCACTATCGTGTGTGTCCTCTAGTTACTAGTGATTGAGTTTTATTGATCAAATTACAATAAGAGCAAGTTTGTGTGTTCCATCATCTCGTGCAATTTGTTTGAATCTTTGGCAGCTGGAACAATAAGTACTGGACTTACATTTGTGGCCATACGTATCTTAAGGAAACTGAATTTTACATAGGGTTTTTAAGTCCATGTTTACAGTGATTGTGGTCAAAGATGTTATAACGAGCTTCCTAGACCGGTACTTTGACGCCTAAATAAAGCTCGTGAAGAGCAGACTAGAGCAAACCAGGCCTTTTTCCGACCTGGATGTGGTTGTATAGACCAGATATTCACAATACGCCACGTCTTAGAACATAGAAACATTCAGACGCCCCCAATAGTAGTATTTCTCGATATTAATGCGGAATTTGACTCTGTCAATCGTAAGGTTCTATGGCAGTGTTTGTCATTGAAAAGGGTACAAAGAAGTACATTAACCTTATACAGGCTCTCTACCCGAACACAACTGGTCGAGTGAGAGCTTATGGTGAACTGTCACCAGAATTGATTACTTCAAGTGGCGTTCGTCAGGACTGCCCACTCTCTCCATTCTTGTTTAACTTTGTCGTTGACGTGCTTTCAGAGATAGCACTTTCCTCATCTAGATTTCCAGGGGTTGAACTTTTACCGGGAGATTCACTTGTTGACTTAAAATATGCCGTTGATATAGTTCTATTTGATGAAGACGCTGACAAAATGCGAAGCCTTCTGATCACCGTAAGAAACAATGCAAACATGTTCGGGATATGGTTCTCCCCTTCAAAATGAAAAATGTTGCTTCAGAATTGGGTTGCATCGGCACCTGAACTAATGATAGGGAGTGAAGTAGTTGAGCGTGTCGACCACTCCACTTGTCTTGGGAGTCACATCAGCCTTTGTGGTTTGTGTGTGACGAAATCTCAGCACAGATACAGAAGATTCGATTGGCTTTTACCAACTTGCGCCATTTATGGCGTAGGCGGTATATCCGTCTACCAACCAAAGGACGGGTTCACTGTGCAGCAGTGTTCCGTCCTACTTTATGGCAGTGAAACGTGGCCTGTAAGAGTCAGAGATATTCGTAGGTTACTAGTGTTCGATCATAGGTGTCTTCGAAGCACTACCCGTATATCCTAGGACCACCGCGTAAGTAATGCGGTTGTTAGGAAACGGGTACTAGGTAAGGATGGAAAATCGATTGATGAAGTAGTGAAACTTCATCAGTTGAGATGGCTGAGACATGTGTTACGTATGCCGAACCACCAACTGCCCCGGCATGCGATGTTTTATGGAAGAGGTTGGGAGAAATATAGGGACGGCCAGACCAAAACATGGCACAAATCCATGAAGTCACCGACAAGTGGGCTGAGCCATGTTGGTAGGTGCAGACTACCTGGCTGGGATCTGCAAGACGATAGCAACCGATGGTTATAGACCTTGAATGACATGGCTCAAAATCGTTTGCAATAATACAGGCTCATCCACTCTTTGTGTTCTTTCAAATTCTAATCTTCTGAATTCTTCATTTCCCGTTTTTCGCTTCCCAAATTCACTTCACTAGATTATACTCTTTAAATAACATCTTCAAACCCTAATCTTTCCGACTACTGCTTATACTTTTACTACGTCTACCAGTATTGGATTTGAATCGACAATTGTATTTTTGTTGTAATGTGGTGTGGCAACTCGAACTGAAGTACACACGTACGTACGAATTTCTACGTTGCTGATGACTGACTGAGAACAATACCGATATTTTAGATGACTAAAATACTGACACTGTTTTTTTAAAATTACTGGTTCTCGCCGTCAATTAGCGATAAGTTATGAGTCGATAACACGTGAAAACGTTTTTTAGCTCCTAGTTTGTTAAGAAAACAGTAAGGATGTTGGCAGTAAAATAGCATTATTGCCATAAAAGCTCGCTTGGAGTGTGATCAACGTGTGAAGTGTATTATTTACAGAATTATGTTTTATCTAGACACTATTTGTACTCAGTAAAAAAATTTGTGGCACGATTTTGAAAACAATAAACTTAGTAAAAAACCGGGGGATTAAATTTGTAGGTTAGCAAAGAAAAGGCGAGACACTTTCTTTGTCAAATGGATGATAAAAATTTATAATGGGAATTCTTTAGAAAGTAAATTGTTCACCTTAATTATATGCGTATGACTGTTATTGATAAGTTTAGCTTAGCGTTAAGCGTTGTTAGTTAGATGAAAAAGCTGATTTTTATTTGGTTCCAGGTGTTCCAAGTTATATAAGCTGTCGTTGCAGTATCACAAGCTTTATGTCTTGTTATGTGCCATGAGTTTAAATCTGACCCTAAATTAAAAGTTGCTGGAACTCTTGAAAGGGATTATATATGTATAAATACTCCTGACTGGAGTTGTTTAATTTTCAAAGGACTGTTATTGGGTGGTAAAGTCCCGTATAACAAATACTGAAAAACTGTTTTTGCAATTCAGAAAATAATTCATTTTGAAAGCATGCTCGACAGAGTACTTCATTTTGAGTACCGAATTAGTCTTGCTTTACTTTTCGGATTTGTAAAAGGATACTCTTTTAATCATTTTAGTTGAACTCCATTAATTACAACCGAGACTTGATAACCATTCCACTAAACGGAGAACATTGTAAATTTTCACTAAAAGTATATTCAGCTTACTGAGTGTGGGCTACATAGGAAACTGTATTATATGATATGACGTTATCGTTCTGAACACCTTAATTTATTGATAAAACATATGCAAGAAAGCGACGATGCTTTTCAACGACGAAAATACCAGTTCATCGACGACTTCTAGCACTCAATTGGCCAACTATTTGAAATATAGACTTGTGATTACTTATTTGTAAACGTATAACTACATTGTTTGTAGGCATTTCATTTTTGTAGTTCAAAAATCCTTCTTTACATCACAAATTCATGGAACTTCGACAATCCGGATACGTTAATTATTGCCTAGAAGTAAATCTTGATTAGGGAAAGTAGAGTAAGAGCTAAGTAAAATTCATGAGTGAATTCAATTTGTGGATTGGTATTACCAGTGAAAGTCAGTAGAAATGCTTTTTAGGTTGCTTTTATATATCGGGAAAAAAAGACTCTCATATTTTATCACCTCTTATTAAGTATCGCTATCACGTTTGGAAAACAACCAATATCCACTTGTGCTTGAGTCTATGAATCTGGGGAATGCAGGTGAATGGCACCTTGAACTGTGTTAAACAACGACTAAGGGTGCAAATACACCTGAGTTGGAGGATCAGCAGAGTTATAATGAAAAGAGATTAGATCTGGTGAGCTGGATGGGTGAGCAGTAATCACAGTACTTATATTTCTTACTTAATTTTATGGTTTTACATTAAAATGAAAAAAGGATTTAGATGTTATAGTTAAATTTACTCACTAAACAGTTTCGAAAGTTCTGTTATTTCATGAAGATTCGCAACTAATACTAGTTGTTATTGATTTTATAATCAGAGTGCAGAAAAACAGTTATCTTCTTGACCTCGATTTATGTACTGACTTCAAATGATTTTTACAATAAATCTATATCCATTAATTTATGTACTTGCATAATTCACTTGATTTGATGACATAACATTTACATGCAACAGTTCAAGTGCACTATATCCCATGGTATTCGAGGTCTTCTGATTTACTTTAAACATATGTTAATTGTCAATTATTAATTTTTTAAAATATACCGATTGGATAATTATAAAATAAGAATATATTTGTAGGCATTCACTGTCTAACTACAAAGTAAACTGAACATTGATGTGGCGAGTTAATTACTTCTCAAAATACAGTAAAAAATTGTTACGCAAATGAGTTTTTGGGATAAAAGTGAAATTTCAGTGGTAAAATATGTTCATTTGAATACCTGAGATCATGATAAGGTAAGATTTTTAAAACAATATTTCTTTGACTTTATTCAGGCTCTTAAAAGAGCTTGTTTAGTTGCAAATATTTATTTTAACAAAAAAAAATTAAATTAATTTTCAGAATATGATGAAGTCATTGCATTTTCTTCTTTTGATAAAACTGGATATAATAGTGATTATAGTTGGTTGAAATTATTAACACAAAACATTTTTGAAGAGTTGTTTTCGTAGATCAATCAAATTTTTCAGAATGTAAACTTGTAAGGAAGGCTGCAAATTGATGTGTTTGGAGAGTTTATATGAATAAGTATGGTGATGGGTCAATACCTGACGTTTATGTTCAAAAAAAGTCTATGATTAGTCTTTAACTGTTTTGGTAATATATAGAAAACTGTTAAGAACCTTATTTTCATCTTTTAGTAAGACGTGATTATTGTTCATTCATTTAGATCTAATTTTCTTTCTTGGTTTTCTATATTATTCGTAAATCGTTTGTTACATTAATTAATAATATTCTAGAACATTCATTATACATATCCATCAAAATGATTTGAACACATGAATTCGGATCATTCATTACAAGTTTACATTCTGAGCAATTTTACAGATCTGTGAAAATAACTCTTTCCTAAGACTTCTATGTTAATAGTCTAAACAAATAGATTTATTATCTTATATGCTGTTAAAGAGAAAGCACAAAATATAGTAAACTCATAGCATCCTGTCGATATTTTTATTATATCTTTTTTTAAACGTTTTGGCGAAACTAATTGCACTGTTGTTTCCTTACAAACTAGCTTATTGGTACTCAGCATGTCTAAAAAGCGTTTGTATTCATAATCTATTACTCCTAAGTGATTAACCTTAGTAATCATCAAATGGATGTATTAATATTTTCTATGCTTTCTATTTACTGTTTGTTTCTGTTGAAAAATATTAAACTTCATAAAGCATATCAAACAAATATAGTGTGAGGCATTTTAAATAATGGTTATAAGGACTTGTGGTACTTTTATTTTGTTATGGCACTTAGTGAATGCCTAAAAAAACACCTCAATGTATCACAGTTTACAAAACCAAGAAAAAATTTATCATAGTTGCTGGAAGGTTTGTTCTGTGTTTTTAGTTTTTCATACTCAATTTTCATTGAAAGGACATTGTTCCCTAGTTTGACAAAGTTGAAATAGTTAAGTTTTAATTGGGATGAATAAACAGTAAAATTTCCGTTCACATGAAGTATATTTTAAAGGTTCCTCTTAAGATGACTTGTAGTATAAGACACTTCAAATAAATAGTTACTTTTTGTATTCACTCATGAATACAATTTGACTAAAGGACATGTAGAGATCTTCATTATAAGTATCTGTTTCTAAGAAAATATCTTTTGATCAAATGCTCAGTTGGAGTTACCATTACTGGGTTATAGAGCAGATATTGCAGCCCACTAGTTAAATATTCAGAAATTTCGAGCGCAAAAATGTGTTCTCAAAATAACCTATTTATCTCTCTCAATATATATATATATATATGTCAGACATAAATATGAAGGTTGTTAAACTATAACGAAACATTAACTTAACTGAAAATAATGATTAAGGAGAATAATCAGCGCTATAGACAACAACAGAGTTTTAGGACGAATAGATTTTAGTGTAAAGATTACTTCACATCTGGAAGTAATTCAGCTCAAACAATGTATAGAAATTCACACTTTCGTCATAGCTTTAAGGTGCGGGAAATGGAGCTTTTTTAAGTACATATATGATTCTATACTGATAAATAAATCAAAATAATGGTAATTTTATCTGCTTCATTTTGTAGTTGTCATATAAATTAGCACATTAAAACTTACATTAATTCTTTATGCACTGATTCTCTTCCTAAAACTATCTGTAGTTGATTAGAACCAATGAAAAATTAATGAATTTGTTTTATTCCGTAAATATTTTTCTGATTGTATTGTTTAAAATTACTGATCAAAGGATTATAATATATAAAAAATGTTGCTTTGTGGTTCTCAAAAAATACATTAATGTAGAACACTAGATACCGAATGAATTTATATTAACCGAGAAATATGCATACAACACAAAAACGGTACTGTACTCAGAATCAGCCGACAACAGTCACAATTGATTCTTCTGTTAATGAAATGGAAAATGAAGACTGGAATAGATTTCTGGAAAATGACTTTACTAAATTTATGGGGATTACTTCACGGCAAAATTATCCATTTAACGATCAATCTATTATATATAATCCAAATGATACCAGTACTACTTCTAATATCATTAATAATAACAACATTCCTATCACATATAAAATGAATGATAATAATAAAAGTGGCAGTGTAAATAAAAATATTTTGGGACACGTCAAGGAGTTGCGAGAAAATTGTTCTAATGACAGTAATCTAGAAATTACTCCCAATTGTGATTGCTCAGATAATGATCTGTCATGGACAAAGGATGTTTTCAATTCAAAGCATTATACCACTAGCTCTCTTGCTTTGACAAGTGGATTTATCAATGACACAAAAATACAAAATAATCATCCAGTCAGTAATGAATTTATTTCTGGTGAAGATTATCAACAATCTAACTATCTCTATGATCAACATTTTAATTCTACACCTGTACAATTATGTTCACAAACTGATTATTCTGTAGTGAGAACTGTGAATTATCCTTATATTATTAATAACGAACATCCACATTATCTTAGTGAGTACATTCAATCAAGTGACACAGAGTATTCAAATTATCATAATAATCTTCATATAGATTTAAGATCAAATGTCTCTGATTTTACTGATATTAGTATTGCTAGTGATCCAGATTATCAGAACCAAAGCAAATCAAAAGCAAAGTCATCATTCATGTTTTTAAATGATCACTTATGTGCACCACAAGCACCAACCATAGAAAATTTAAAGTCATGCAATCCTTTAAGCCAGGAAGATTCCTTTGAGAATGGATGGCTTGATGGTCAAAACAGAACACATTATTGTGCTAACTGGTCAGTCGATTGGACAAATAATACTGAGTCAAATAGTCGACCAAACTATCACTCATGTAATTCAAAGCATATTCCTATAAACTTTGACAGTTTCCGATGTCTAGGTAAGTAAAAGTAATCATACTTGCTTTTAAACTCGAAATCAATTTTCCGTATTTCACGTTTAAGGTAACTTTTATTCAATTATTATAGTTATTAATAGTGAGTTGCAGATAACTATCACTGCTATGTCATTATTGTAATACAACGACGATGATGAAGAATTTAGTGGTTGAAAAAGTTTCTGCTAGGTGAAAATTAGGGTTACTTTATGAGTTGTCTAAAATGCCTTCTAAATATATTATTAAGTACTATGTATGCCAATAAAAGTATTTCATGCATACAGTTCCTGGTATTATCATGAAAAAATCTAGAGAAACTACTGGAATAGAAGATTATAAATCTGCTATATTTTATTTGATTATAAATTAGCTTTCTAATGAAAACATCTTATTAGTATTAGTTTTACAAATGGACCTTCATATGTAATATACATCATATTTAATGAAAAAAAACAGGACCTATAATTTGAGTATATCTCTTCCCTGTGTTCGTTTATCTACATCCAATGATGATTAGTCACCACAATAAAGAAAGCACATTATCTAAAGTCGCTAATATCCCAGTGAAATTAAGTTTTAAGTTTAGTCTCAAATTGTGGTGTAGATTATTCATTTTTGTATTGCTTTTATGAATCTTCCCATTGCACTCCTAAACATCAATGAAACGATTCAAACAACCGATACAAAAATGCATTAAAATTCCACCCACTTGCATAAGCTAGTGACCATCTGGACTTAGTAGCTAAGTGGATAACGAGATGGCGTTTGAAGAGAATGGTAGTGGGTTTGGGTTCCGGAATCAACACCAACTCCAGGACTCAGGCACATCCATATCACGAGTCTCAAATAGGACGAAACGCGTGTCCTGGATTCCACTGCTAGCCACTATCCATCCTTGTTTATAATGCTGCTGGTGTAGGTACTCCGAATGTATCAAAAAAGGCATATTGTAATGAGCGATCTGAGTTTTAAGGGTTGAAGCATGCTCAAACAAGTAAACGCGTTACAATAGTTAGAAACGTTTTGTAACAGTTACAGTGCCTGTAAAGTCTTAAAATATTTATCTTGGCAAATTGTAGTAGCACAATCTGCAGTAAAAGATCAAGAATACTACATATGCTTTGCATGTTGTGGTACTTGTAAACCTTTTCTGTAATGAAAAATGGAGAAGTGATAAACCCATGTCAATTTTTGAGATTATAGTCTGATATGTAGGTTAGATTAATTAATAATTTCCATATGTATGCTCGCTGCTTAAGACTGCATGACTATTAACGGTGATATATGCCAATAATATTTTGTCTTTTCATGTGTTTGCGAATCTGATTACCATAATGATTTGTAAGTAAACATGTAAATCCCTGGTTAATGAATAGTAAAAATGATTCAAATGAACTTTTTGAATGGAATATCTTTAATAAAACACTAATTTAACGTTATGGGAACATCTTCATCAAAGTAACTTCCACTGACAATAATCATTTTATTCTTTAGGTGACTATAGAAGTTAAAACGAACGTTTCACTGTTTTTCCGTGGATAATTACTAAAATAGCACACCCGTTTATATGATAAACTGATCACTTTCAATCATTGAAGCATGTTTTCTAGCTCGTAAAATCGGATAGTTCAGTCCTTCCTCTAACATGACATTTGTGAAACCAAAGATCTTAGACAACGTTCACCAAAATCGTTCCATAAATATTTTTCAAACATAAGTTATTTATTTTATATATAATACAAAAAGCTTGCGCAGTAGGGCACCAATAAACGATTTACATAAACAGAGCTGTTGTCTATTATCAAATACTCGTGTTGCTAAGATAATAAATCTCTTTTCTATAAAAGCTACAATGCAGTATATGAAGAAAACATAGGGCACGTCTTTAAAGAGTAATGATAGCTATTTTACTCTTCATTTTTGATGCTTTAGTTATTTAAATCTTTCCGTTGCTTGACGTTTTAGGTGTCTAAAGGAATTGGTACCATTTTGAGTTATTTTTAGTATTGCAAACATTTTGGGTTAACCAAAGTCGCACGAGTTTTATTTTGTTACATAATCAATATCATTCATTCATTCCCTTTTTGATTAATGATTTCATACATTTACTTTCGTCCTAAAATATCAAAATACGTATGCTCGCTTTGTGTATTAGAGATGGAGCTGACAAATGAACCATGATCTCCTTCGATTAAGGTTTGATTAGTTCTTCTTTCAACCAAATATTTTAAAGGTCCTGTTCCAGTTCTGAGTTCAGCTTTTAAAATGGATTGACCTTCTGACTTCTCTCTAGTAAATAAGATTTAATTTGTGTTTGTATCATATGTGTATGGGATTATTGATCAAAATGTTAACTCAATCTTGTGTTTTAAAAAGTCTGGTATTCTGTTGAGAAAGTTATTTTTGTTTCCTTCTGGGATTATGTTTGTTGGTTACTGCTATGGAATCGGGTTTCAAGCATTTTCTATGCTTTCGTTTTACATGAAGCTCCTTTGAGTGTGACACCTAAACTAAAATCTCTAAGTCTATTTTTAAAAACTTGTAATTAGAGAACGAAAATTCACTCAAAATTGAATCAGATAGAAGAAATATACATTTATTATCAAATTTTGGGTTACATTAAAATGCGAACTCAGGTGAAAGTTCGGTCCACTTAAGTCTTCTATCAATTGAATAGTAATTAGTTATATTTAATGAAAAAAAGTTTAAGAAAAAAATATTTTTCTAACAGTATTATGATCATGAACTTCTAAAATGTGTAAATTGTTTACACTCTAATAGGCGAACGAGGACATATAATTCATTACTTTTATTTATCCAAACATAGTTTGTTGATTGTATAGCAGTTACACCTATATGGAGAAAGCGTAATTATTTTGATCTTTAGACTTGTCACAGTAGTTGAATATGGATATTGTCAGTTGTTTAACAGTTTATTGTTTATTTGTATCACTAATGAATTTTAATTTAATGTTTACTGACATTATCGTTGGTAAATATTTAATGGTAATGGCTGTTGTTTTGTGTTAAATGGTTACATGTTGAGTGTCTCATTTTAAATAAAACAGTTAAACGTTCATGTACAGCTTTTTGTTCCTACTGCATTACACAAGCTAAAAGCTATGGCATATTTTTAATTTTTTTCAAAGGCGCCACTTCTTATTTCGATGCTAGAAGTTCGAATTGTAAAAAAGACTGTCTAGTTACAAAGAATAGTGAATCGGTTGACCATCCACATAAAGGAGCGCCAAACATATCTAGTAATCACCAGTTTGATTCAGGACCCAAACTGTGTAACGAATTTGATAGTTCCTTATCTCCACAAACAGAGTCAACGAAGCTATGCAATGTTACTTCTAGTAAGTTTTTACAAAACGTTTCAAATTTTATTATATTAATTACTAAATAGTGTCTGAAAACCTCAAAAAACCAATGTTAATAAACTTTATGTCATCTGATTTTACGTCATCAAAATGACGATAATTTTTACTCGAGTTCAGTAGAGAGGTATCTGAAAAATATTGTATTATAGTAATGATGTTAGTGAAGCTGCTTGACTTCGACAGATGCCCTGGTTAATCAGATGGATATAATGCTATCACCAGTTGTTCCTTGTAATTAGAAGTGATCATCTTTATTTATGGTATCTTTTTTCTTTGAGATATTTGTGGTCTTAGTAGCAGTTTTACAATAGATTTGAATTATTTTGACTGTACTTCTAATCATAACCTAATAGTAATAATATTTGTTTCGAGCTTTTTATTAAAATTAACTGGTTACTGAATTGTCTAACAGTTTACAATTTATAAGTCCGTAAAAATATCTTCATTTTATAGTTTTTTTTAAGTATCAGAATTCAAAAATCATATTACGAAATTCTATGTCATAGTAATAGATTCTCACTAGACCCAGCATTCTATCTTTAAATAGGCGAACAAATAAAATTTCCTCATAGGATATTAAATTATTCAATCAGTTCACAAGGCTTACCAATATAAAATCGTAGATATTCATAACCCCTATTTTACGGACAGCCAGTGCTTGATTTCATGTACGAATAAGCTTTTAAATTATCAAGATTTATCAGCTAATAGCCTTCGCGATAGAAGAACAAACATCTACACCTTTAATTCAATTAATCTTTTGAATAATTATATACGAATGTACAGGTTTTATAAATAATATTGTTAAAAAGAAATTCATTTCGCTGATCTTCACTTTTTCTAATTAATTATGTGCTCAGTTTTATCTTAAGTCATACAATTTATTCTTTTTGTGATGATAGTCTGAGATCATGTAGAGTTTGGAACTATTTAACATAATTTTTTCTGAGATAACAAATAAAACTTTAATACCAACTAAAAGCTATTATTATCGTTATTATTATTCGTATATTGGTATTAAAAATGTACCGAGTAATACTTCTTAATGCTAGGTGCCAATAAAAAATAAGTATGATCCAGGAAATAAGCAATTCTATTACTATATCAGTTCCCAAAAATAAATATTGTTACATCTTATTCCTTATTAGGTCTTACACTTTTACAGTTTGTGCTTGAAGCATTCAGAGAGATCATGGCTTAGTAATTAAATATATTTTAAACAAGTGTTAACAATACGTTATCTCTTATTTGACGAGTTAATGAATGTTCTCCAAATCCCTGTACTAAAATATATTGGGTAATGGTGATTAAAAACCTACTAGTAACAGTTATGTTCACAGACACAGGTTTCCATTTTTTCCATTGTTTTTGAATTCGCTGCTGAGATTTTTGTGGGGCCCGTAATTACGTCGTCATTTAGATCGAATGATGTTGTCGAAATGGCTCTCCACTTTAGTGGCCCGGGTTCTGATTCCAAGGTGATTATATTCATGATTGTTGTTGAAATATATATGTCACCTATCCTCGTATATAATCATCGACTTAAGTCACGTTAGTCAATAACGGGATTAAATAGGTCGAATAACGAGAATGGAGTTGTGAATACATATATTCTGTATATAAAGTGAATGGAATAGAACGAAGCAAAACGACGCGCAGTGGAGATGGCGGGTAAGCCAACTCCCATTTAACCAAGCGTTAATGAATATTTATAGGCACACAAAAATAAATTACAGGCATGTGGTGAGTAATGGGATAAGAACTGTACACACACCTACGCCCTCATCAGTCAAGACTGATAAACGAATAAATAACAGGGTCAGAATGTAACTCGAGTAGAATGAATAGAATGGGATGTCCGAAAGCTAGAATAAAGTATATGGGCTTAACATAATAATCGACACTACAAGTTAATGTAATTTTTAGCTAAACGCAAAATAGTAATTAGTTGAAACTTCACAAACATGTTCTTTTATAGTTTATTTATTAACTTACGATGCAATTAAATATTATCAGATTTATCAGTTTAGGTGCTGTGGAGATTGTTAAGTTCTTGATTGAAATCATGAGTCAATTGAAGCTAGACCACCATGGAAAACCTGGAATCACTGGACGGCCGTTTCGTCCTAGTGTGGGACTCCTCAGCAGTGCGCACCCACGATCCCGCATTCCGCGAGACTCGAACCCAGGACTTATCAGTCTCGCGCCAGGCGCTTAACCAACTAGACCATTGAGCCAGCATCCAATGGTGTCAATGTCTAATCTCAACCAATCCACGAAATTGCGCGACCATCTTCCATTGTTCTACGGTAGACACCTGTTTCTACCCGACACGGATTAGCTCTACTAATCATGGGTTCTCACCAGAACTCCGAGAATTTTCTCACGAAGCTAGTCACTAGTGAGCACATGGTAATTATCAGTTTAGGTGTTGTGGAGATTGTTAAATTAGGACGAAACAGCCGTCCGGTGCTTCCAGGTTTTCCATGGTGATCTAGCTTCAATTGACTCATGATTTCGATCAAAAATAATCAGATTTAATGGAAGTGTTGCGTGTTTATAGGCTTTTCTTCTACTGAAAAAAAAACGTTGTTCAAACTGATTTATGATGTAGTGAATTCTAACTTTAGAAAGTCTTTGAGAGGGACTAATGCATTTTATCGTTTGCATTAGATAATGTACTGTTAATAATGCCAAACCTAACATAGATCATTTTACAGAAAGATAAATTGAAGTTTTATGCAATAATATCTTAGACATTTAGCAATGTCGGATAAACTAGTATTACCCCATTAGTTTCTCTAATTAGGCAGATTTAAAGATCTTGATGGTAATTTAAAAGAAATCGTAAAATTTGATAAGCAACGTCGATCTTAGTAAATTTCAAACAACTGCTGTAGATCCTGACGTTAACAAAACGAATCAGTTCAGGTATCTAAACTCTACTAACATTTCATCTCTATTCATATATTATTTATGTCATTATAGTGTAATACTATATATTTTCAAAATAACCTATCCCTGAACATAGTGAAGAATTGCCCTACTTTTGTATTCAAATACTACGTCACATAATTTAATAATAAATAAATTTAACTTTTCACGTAACTTTATCATGGATTAAAATTTGTCGGTATATATATATTGGTTGCTATCAAAATGAATCGAAAAGTATCACAAAATAAATTGATGGTCAACTTTCCTTCTTAACTTGTTATTTTCTTATAGTAAGTAAATTTGTGCAATAATCGTTTATTCATATAGTTAAGGGTAATTAATACAAAAGATATGTAAATATTTCGAAGTAAAATCTACTAGTAGCAATTGAGTATTTAAGTGTAAATGTTTACGAATTAATTTTTAGGATTTCAAAACCAATGATAACGAACTGAATAACTGCTGTCTACTGAAAGTTTTACTTAGGGTGCTATACAAAGGAATCGTGAATATGTAGAAATGATTGAAAATCGATGCTTACCAACCTAATTGATACAACGTAAATGATGAAAAACGCTGAGTTTTAAAATAATTTTTAATTTTTCCAAAGTAATACGTTTTATGAGAATGGTATTTTCCTCTTCAATTGACATCATTTGCTTACACGATCTAGTTCAAAATGACTGACATTTGGTAAAATGTTCTCAAACTATTTTACTTTACCAGACAAATAAAGAAACAATTTTTCAGTAAAGAAAGGTGGTGGCTAGCGGCGGAATCCAAGACGCGCGCTTCGTCCTATTCGGGACTCGTCAGCTGGATATATCTGCATCGCAGAGTTGGTGTTCGCTCCGGGACATGGACCGAGTACCGAATAGGACGGAACGCGCGTCCTGGATTTCACTGCTAGCTACCATCCATCTTTGCTTATAATACTTGTGACTTAAGGCAGTATCGACGCAATCTACACAGGGTGCACATTTGCCGAGAAGAGACTGATCAATTGCAGCTCTAAAGATCAACTATAAGAATCAAATAAAACAACACAAAATAAATTCAAAGAAATAGTGTATTTACGTCTGAACTGTTGGAGTCCACTACACAACTCAAACAACAGTAGTCTTTATGTTAAATGTTTATATTCTCTCACAAATATGTCAGTTTAGGTACCCAAAGTTCTTATTTTCATTTAATGCATCAACTAATTTTATTCCTGTTCATGTTTGATTTGTTCGAAATGGAACCTGATTTCGATGTGCTGACGATGTTGTTCAGAAGAACGATGAAATCTCCACGACCAAACCACCCAGCTCAGAGAACAAAACTCCACCAAAAAAACTATTTATAAATTTTTACATGATCTGAAATTGTTTTGAAAAAGTTAACCACTTTCCATCTGAAATAATCAATGAAGTATGATTTTCTTACAATTCTCTAAGAACTAGTTACATTCAATAATCATGATACGTTTTAGAGCAAAACGATTGGTACTTATTGTATAGAATGACTGCATTACTGAACAACACTATCATAGTCAATATTTCTTCAACTATTTTTAATCTTTAGCTTTAACTTTTAATAATGTTTGAAGATCATAATTCATTTTTAAAGCACTTTCTAAAATTAATGTCTTCAAATGTCCAAAGACTTTAATCAGTTATTTACTTAACAGATTGATACTTTAATTCTGACACCTTTCTCTGCAATTTTATTGATTAAATAATAATTAAGAGAAGCTGAACACACAACTTGATATCCTCGCTAATTATTTCAGATGAAATTGCTTTATAAATATATGTTCATGTAAAATTGAAATACCTCTTATAGAAATATATTTTTGTCGAAGTTCATTTAAATACTTTGTATCCTAAAAAGAATACAGCAAATAATAAAGGATCGTGCTATTACTTTAACAGTTTTTTTCTTTATGATGATTTAACTCCATGAAAGGCTTTCATGATTCCTCAAATATTTCACTTAAAAAAGTTTACATAGGCTGATAAAGTTATGTTTTGTTCATTTTATAGGCAACTAATAAC